GACAGGGGAGAAGAGCTGAGCAGATTCGGGATTTTCTGGGTTGAGAGGGAAGATTCTAAGCCCCCAAATCTTGTGATTTAACAAGAAAAGAAGAGAAATTTCATCAACATCTCACCGGGTTTTCAAGGGAGGAGGGAGTTGGTGGCTTTGAGGGGCTTTCGGGAGGCAGAGCATCGGGGAGAAGATGAAGCTGAACACGTGTGGCTGAGGATGAAAGAGAGAAAATATCAACTGATCCTTATCCTAATTTTCTTTCTTTTTAGTCCCTGAACTTTGAAAATTTCTATTATTAAGGCCATTAATAATACTTCCTCACAATTAGGTCCCTACGCACACTTTAATGTTCTAGGCAATTTTGGGGTATTACAACGATCAGCACACATATTGCCCCCTCTCTGTAAACATGCTGCAAGTGGACGTGCGAAAGATCCACCACAAGGGCCCTACAATTAGAAATGAGAGAACATAGAGGGTGATGATGGTCAGTCCCAGTGGAGAGTAACTGAAAGGCAATAAAGGAATCCACTTCAACAATTAAGGATTGAATATCCAGTTGTTTAGCCAAAAGAAGACCATCTCGAATTCCCCAGATTTCAGCAGCAAGGCTTGAAGCAATATCAATCTTCCTAGAGAAGCCTTTAATCCAATGTCCTCTATGGTCACGAATAAGGCCTCTAGAGGTGGCTGGACCTGGATTATTGATGACTGAGCCATCAGTGTTAAGTTTAAAGGAGCCTGCCAATGGTTTGTCCCATTTAACAAGTTTTGGTGTTGAAGAATGACTGCCAAATTTGGGACTAGGGAGAACAGATAGGAATTCAAAGATCCTTTCTCTAATAAACCGACAGATAACGTTGGGGTCAAAATCTTGATCACAATAAACTTTTTGTTCCTATGAATCCAGATTGTCCAGAGAACAAAGCAAAAAAGAGAACCCCATGGAGCAGGAATAGTAAGGGCGTAGCTCTTTTTTGTAACAGTTCCTTTGAATCCAATCAAAGAAAGAAGTATCATTCTAGGGAAGTTGAAAACCATCTCTGAAGAAATAATTCCAAATCGGGAGGACTTACAGACAGGAACTCATGAGGTGAGAACAAGACTCATATGTATTAGAGCATAATGGACATAATGAGTTATCAAGGATGCCAATACAATGTAAATATTCAAAAGTCTTCAAGCGTTGGTGACAAAGAAGCCAAATGAAGTTCTGAATTTTTGAAAAAGCATGTAACTTCCAAATCCACTGCCAATTTCCCTTACAGGATAGGGGAATATTCTTAGCAATTTTATATGCTATCGTAGAAGAGAACTGACCATTAGATGAATCCTTCCAAGCAAAAGAGTCCCCTCCGTGACGAGAGAAAGAAAATGGGGTAGCCTTGATGGTTTCTAACGTGTCTTTATCCAAGGGTTGAGATATAATATCAAGATTAAGTTTGCCTTGTGGGAAGACATCTGCAAGTGTGAGGTTCACGTCATTCAAGAAGATGGGTCCATAGAACTTGGAGACGAGGGGATAGTCAGAAGCCTAGCAGTCAAACCAGAACAGGATGTCACTATCATCGGTTGGGATCCATTTAATGCCTTGTAAAAAGAGAGGATTCCCTTTCCGGATATATCTTAGAATAGGCGAGCCATGTATCTTAGTGCCCGTTTGGTTGTAAATATCATAGGTTTAGGGACCGTCGAATGTCGTTAAGGTGTTGATGAAGACCTAAGGCACCATGTGGCACTCCCTGGTCCAGCGTGAGGCTCCATCACCAAGGGACCCAATCATTTGGCATTCCACAAGGTGTCCGCTCTTGGTACCACTTTACATTTACTCAGCAAAGAGTTGTAATAATTATGATGGTATAATTTAATGTAATTTAAATTATAAAATATTTTTTAATAAATAAATTTTTTTAATATATATTTATAAGATATAAGTTAAGAATATAATTAGTATATTTTTTAATTACTAATTTATATAAAAAAATTAATATTAATTTTAGTATTAATGTTATGTGTTTTAATTTAATTAATTATTAAAATTAAAGTTAAATTTTATTTTTTTATGTAGCTTAAAGACAAAAAATATATATTAATTATTTTTTAACATGTGCCCACAAGTTATAAAAATTAATTAAATAAAAATTAATAAGCATATGAGACACTTATTTCTTTTTTTTGGGATAAATACTCATTTTGATCTCTCAACTTTATCAATTTGCACATTTTTGGTACTTAAAGTATTTTTTGCACATTTTTGATTCCTCAACTCTAAGAAATGCACGACGTTAATCCTTCCGTCACTTAAGGCTGTTAATCCCACCCACATGACATTTTTTTTATTTTTTTGGACATGAAGACAACAACTTAAAAAGGTGTTGATCTGGACATTTTTTTGATGATATGTCTCAACGTCAACTCATATACCAAATTACATTAGCATTTATATTTTTAATAAAAAAATAAAAAACTACAAATTTACCTTAATACCCCTGTCTCCCTTTCTTGATCCATCTTCTTCCCCATTTTCGATCCATCTTCTTCCTTTCTTTCTTCCTCTTCTTCCTCTTATTTCTTCCTCTTCTTCCTCTGTGTTGCTGGGTTCCCTCAAACCCAGCTGATTTGGGTTCAAGGGAACCCAACTCAGGTTCAATGGAACCCATCTGCTAGGTTCCGTCAAACCCAGATTTGCTGGGTTCCTCGAACCCAACAATTGGGTTCCACCAAACCCAGCTCCACTTTTTTTTTTTGGTTATATATTTGTTGCGAAGAGTTTATTCAAATTGTAGGTTGTGAGAGATTTTTGAGATCCTTTTGCTTCATATTTCCTAACTATTGTCTAAATGATTTTAATGTTCAATGGAAAGAACATCGCCAATGATGAAAAGAACAAAAGTAGTGACTGATGGGCAAAGAAGTAATTTTTAGTGGGTTTTCATTTGCTTGACTAAAAAATTGTACAGTTTGGGTGTTTGGATGCTGAGAAAATGGTTTCAATATGTTTGGTTGTCGAGAAAATTGTAATGTTTGTTAAGAAAACTTGATGAGAAAATTGTAATTTAATTATAAATTAATTAGAATCTCAATTTTGATTAACATAAGTAATAGTTTAATGATGATTAATTAGTGAAATTTGACTTGACACCATTTAGATTTAATTTAATTTGCTACATCATTAAAAAAATATAAAAGCTGTCACGTAATTTGCCACGTCATTAAAAAAATATAAAATATATCACGTGGACGAAATTAACGGCACAAACTGACAAAAGATCAATATTGTGCATTTTTTAGAGTTGAAGGATAAAAAAAGTGCATAAAATACTTTAGGGACCAAAAATATGCAAATCAATAAAGTTGAGGGACCAAAATGAATATTTAACCTTCTTTTTTAAAGCAATGGGGCACTCTTTTCATTAAAACTTAAAAGAAATAATTATTGATAATGTGTTAAAAAATCTATTGATAATTATGGAATTTAAAGAGAAAAAATGTAAATAAGAATATGAATTTTATTATTATTTATTTAAAATGTGAATTTTATTAATTTTTGAATAATGTGATGAATTTTTAATTTTTATTTAAGGATATCAATTTTATATTTTTATTTAAAAATACCAATTTTACAATTATTTCTATTTAAAAATTAATTAAATGGTTAAAAAAGTTATTTGATATATCAAGTCATCACCATCATTGTTTAATTAATCTTTAAATGGAAAAAAAATAAAATAAATATTTTTACATAAAAAATAATAAATTCCTACCTTATTTAAAAAGTTAAAATTCTAATTTGGCCCCTCTACTTTGATAAAAAAACTCCTTTTAGTCTCTTTACTTAAAAAACCCCCTTTTTGATCTCTAAATTTTGAAATCCAACCCCATTTTTAGTTTCTCTGTTAAGTTTTGATTTTAAATGAGGAAAATTTCAAAGGAGAGAAACCAAAAGGGAACTTTTTTAACGTATCTCATATACAAAACTTAATGAAAGAACTAAAAACAAGTTAGATTTCAAATTTTAAAAACCAAAAGATTTTTTTAAGTAGCAAGACCAAAAAAGGACTTTTTACCAAAGTAAAGGGATCAAAATGAAAATTTAACCATTTAAAAATTAGCAAATTTCACATTTTTAAATAAAAAAAGATAAAACTTTTATCTTTATCTATACTTTTTTCAAAATTTGAACCCATGCAATTTTGGACCAGAGGCTAAAACGTGCGCCCTAGACTGCTTGGCCAAACTGTCATTTCCAATAATTGGAAATTTTTAATTGTAGTTAATTAACTTTAATAAATATTTATAGAATAGGAATCTATTTATACACTAAATTATATACATTATA